TGCCTGTAATCTATGTAATGGGTTAGCTTCATCTGGATTATAGACAGATATAGCTGGGTATCATCAGCATAGCTGCTCGGCGGTCCGTTCGCACTCTGGTCTTAAACTCAGGTTTTCGTCATCAGAGTGACTTCTGGGTAGAAACCTCCTTCCTGTCTCAGCTTGCTGATGGCGGCAGTCTCCTGACTGAAGCGTAGATTTTAGCGCGGTGCAAGAACAGTTAACCAAACGCCTCCTCTGAAGGCGCGGTCACACAGCTAACCCAAACCTCAGCTTAGTCCTAAACCTTGCCCTTTGACCCCAGAAGGGAACCTTTCCTCATGTTGTTGTTCCACACGATGTAGCATAATCCTGGGAATTCATGGCCGCACTAATCTGTGGACGTCTGCTGCATTCCAGGCTCTAAACTCTGTCTGTTTGCCTCCAGCTCTTCTCTTTCTCCTATTTCTCTCTTCATTTGTTGCACTTTTCTCCACCCCCCCATCCATCTTCCTTTTTCCGTGCGTCCTGAACTCACCTCAGACGTCCCTGTCCCCCTCCAGAGTCCATGATCCTGCTGGGCTCCATAGCGCGCGCTCAGCTGCAGTTGCTGCTCTCCCAGCAGCTGAGTCGCAGCAGACGCATGGAGTTCATCAGGGAGCGCGCTGCAGCCGAGAAGAAACACCTGTCAGTGGAGTCCATCAACGACAGCGAGGACGGCCGCCAGCGGGCCAGCCAGGAAGTCCGCTTCCAGGTGAGTTTTCCTCAGGAGGCCAGCAGAGGATCACTGACGGGTCGGAGGCGGTCGCTGTTTCATCGTCGTCTAACAGCGTCTGCTAGAGATATTAAATCATTTGTCACGTTGCTACCAAAATATTTAAGATTTTCCTCAGAACTATATTCATTAAACCAACTGTTGGTAAAAATGGCTCTTTGTGGAAATCTGATGTATTTTGAATACAGCCCATTTTATTTCGACGTCCCTAATTAAAATACGGATCAATAGTTGCATCTGTGTGTGATTTGGTTCATGAATCCAGCTCATGAGTAGAGAGAAGCATCATGAAGACCGAGGAACAGCAGACGGATCAGGGAAGATTAGGGCAGAGGTCGAAGTTGTGGCGACAGCCTAAACTATGAGTCCAGACTAGCAGAACGTGGATCTCAGCAGAGCTCAGAGTGGAGGTTAGGTCATTCTGGCTGTGGTCTCTGGGTTAGGGTTAGTCGTCTCTGGGTTGGGGTTAGTCGTCTCTGGGTTGGGGTTAGTCGTCTCTGGGTTAGGGTTAGTCGTCTCTGGGTTAGGGTTAGTCGTCTCAGGGTTGGGGTTAGTCGTCTCAGGGTTGGGGTTAGTCGTCTC